TCTATAAAAAAGGCNCAAGATGGCGCTACATGCCACACAGCTCGCGATTCTATGGCCATTTTGAGGGAAAACTTCGGAGAACAATTCATCTCAAGAAATGGACCGGTAAGTTGGCCACCAAGATCATGCGATTTGACGCCTTTAGACTATTTTTTGTGGGGCTACGTCAAGTCTAAAGTCTACAGAAATAAGCCAGCAACTATTCCAGCTTTGGAAGACAACATTTCCGAAGAAATTCGGGCTATTCCGGCCGAAATGCTCGAAAAAGTTGCCCAAAATTGGACTTTCCGAATGGACCACCTAAGACGCAGCCGCGGTCAACATTTAAATGAAATTATCTTCAAAAAGTAAATGTCATGGACCAATCTAACGTTTCAAATAAAGAACCGATGAGATTTTGCAAATTTTATGCGTTTTTTTAAAAAAAAAAGGTATCAAGCTCTTAAAAAATCACCCGTTACATAGTGTACTGTGGGAGAGCGCATTGGTCGTGACCGTTTCACACCGATAGAGCGAAGCTTGGGTTGCCAAAAAGGAATATGCCACTGCTGAATGTTTTACTTGCTTAACTTTGATATTTTTCTAATAAATTTTTCGCATAATTCAAGAAAAAAACACAAACTATTTTTTCCCACAAATAAAATACAAAACTTAAAGAGCGTTCACAATGTCAGCTTAGTGTTGAGATAGGTTTTTGAAATGTTTCTCTCTTGACATATTAACTTGCAAATATAGTTGGAGCGGTACTTTAAATAATATTTTATTTTGTTCACTAGAAACGCAAAATTTCACTCGAAACTGATATTGAGGAACGTGATAAAAACAAAATCGCTCAACTCTATTGACATTGTAAACGCTCCTTAACCGTTTGTATTTTGGATTGAAGAACCTTCAAAGAAATAAAAAAATGCATACTTTTTCAACACAGTCGCTTGATTCGAAAATCCGAAAGATTTGTATAAACCTTTCATCTGTTGTTAATTTTTTCTCTTCTAAGACAGCACCGTTTCAGCTTGGAGCGGTCCACAAATGCACTCCAAAGGATATTAAAGCCACTAATATAACCAATTCAGAAGTTTCCGGTAGAAAAAAAAAATTAAATTAATAGGTACATTAAAGCTTTCATCGAACTTAAAAGGTAAACAAAGTGAGAATATTTAAAACGCATAGAAGCTTTTAGCGAACTTACGAGTGCTTTTAATTATGTTAATATATATATGGTAGAAGAGCACAGAAACGCCTTGATGGAAACAAAAAAAAAATTGTTAGAGAACAGTTAGTGGCCAAAGGTTATATTGAATATGGATTACGGGAAAATCCACTCAGCCGCTTTTTGCCGCCAACCGAAAGGTGCTGCCTTAAAAACTATGTCAGTTTGTGGCTTTTATTCGCTTTTTATGCTCAACTCAATTTTATGTTATCATTACAATTTTAGGCTAATTTTTGTTTATTGATACATTCACTCACACTAGTGGCACTTTATTTAAAATTATACTAAAATATAACTTACACTACGTTTTATGCAACGAAAAGTATGTAAGTGTGTTAAACTATGTATGTATATGTTACTAAACAAACGTGAGGATGCGCCGAATTAAAAAAAGAAACTTGAAAAAAAAACAGTGGAAGAGCAGAGTAAATGTAAATGGTTAGAACAGCAAAATTTTCAAAAAAAAAATTAAAGCGAATACCTCTGTTAGAATATTTTCAAAAATTGAGCAAGTTCTGGTGTACTTCAGGCTGTGCAGTAGTGTATTATTTTTTTATAATCAATCAATAATACACTTCTATCTTATAACACAGTAAATGTTATTACTATCAAAAAAAAAAAAATGGTGCTGTGTGTGAACAAATGCAAAAACAAGTACAAATGTATCAACAATTTAATTTTTTGTGTTTTGTGGGCGTTTGGTAATAATAAATAAGTAAATTATTTTTAAAATTTTCATCGATTTTAATTAGCGGAATACTCCTCTAATAGAGAGATGTCATTTACTTTTTCTGTGTGTATTTTGCATTAAATTTATTCACGTACTTTTAGTATATTTTAAAAAAACTCAATAAAATAGTTAAGAAATGAACAAAAATTTTATTTTAACTACTAGAGAGTTTTTAATCTGTGCGGCAATACAGTGATAACCCTACTGAAAGTTTAATAAGAAAACAAAAAAAAGTTGAAAAAATTATATATAAAAAATTTAAAAAAACAAAAATTAAAAAAAATTTATAATTCTATTGCAAGTTTATATAAAATTGTAAATAAAAATCTGCAATCGTATATGTACATCGATAGATTTCTAAAAAAATGTCAAACTTTTTATAAAATTGTACTAAAGTATATAAATTTTTTTTTTAACTGAAAAGTTTTATCGAGATTTGGGTTCAAGTTAAAAACTTCGAAACTAGAAAAATATCCCAAAAATTTCTATAAAGATCTTTATTTTTAGATCATTGTTGTTTTTTGATTTTTATTTTTCCGATCAATAATAATCGGAATTTCGATTTTTATTTTTTTTCGGTAAAATTAAATCGTTATTTTGTGATTTTCTTTTTTCTCTAAAAAATATTCGTTCTTTTGCACTTAAATTTTTTATCCATAATATTTTCTCGTTATGATGGAGACTGCGTTTTTAAGACCGAGCTAAAGCGTCTTTGTGTTCTTTAATTGCAAAAAGGCGTATAAGAGTATTGTTAAAACTAGAAAATGAATACTTTTCATATAGGGTTTTCAAATTCATTCCAAAAGTTTTAAAATAACTACAATATACATTAGGGTGATTCAGAAAAATTTTAATTTTTTTCCTCGGAACCATGCTCAAAAGTTTCGTTTAGACGCCAAAATAAGTCTCAGAAAATATGAACCCATTCATTCGACTTTGACCTCGAATAACTCTTGACCGAGTTGACTTATCGAAAAATGACTTTTGACCTTTTTTATAGAGCGCTCCATTCTCTATACCTTTACAGTTCGTTAAATATAAAAATCAGAATTAAAAAAAATAAAAAAATTCCTGTTATTCTTATGGGCTCATATTTTTCAAGACTTATTTAGTTTAAACATTTGAGCATGGTTCCGAGGAACAAAAATTTTTTTTTTCTGAACCACCCTAACATACATATGTATGTACATACGTGAATAAAATTATGCAAAAAAGCTTGTTTTGAACAAAAATATGCATATGGCATTTGATGAGTTCGAAAGATCTTCATATTAAAGCCAAAAAAGTTGAAAAAAATTTGAAGATTGTGAAAAAATGTGTTCAAAATCGTACTCATTTCTTTGTTGCTAATTTGCGACAATCGTTGCCATGATTTGCCATAATTTATATATTTTCTTAATTTTTCATTAAAAGTATAGCGCTGCACTAATGTACAAAATGTGTGTTTTATTTTTTCTATGTATGATTTTTTTCTTTGTTGGGTAAGTAATTCCTTTCGCGTTTTCATTTGGCAGCTTATTTTAATAAAAAAAAAAACGAAAATCTAGCAAATTTTTCCGCATTTACGCTTAAGTACACACGCACTTACCGACATATTTTCACATTTAGCTACAATCTTAATTATTTTTAAATTTTTATTTTCTTGCCTTTTTTACAGTCAACAGAATATGGATAATAAATAGATGGTATTTGCCACTACCTCAGCATGTCACGCGCGCAAAGCACCAGAAGCTCATTCCGAAAATTTGTCTCGAAAATACGCGTATGTATGTTTGTACATATGTATTTATAGTACATAATTTGCATACACTTAATTAGTTAGTAGAAGAGTTTGTCGTACTTTTTCGTTTCCTTTTTTTTGCTTATAAAAAAATTATACTTATTCCTTTGCTTTATAAACTAAGAATTCTAAAAAAAAAAAATGGCAACTCTCAAATACGTTGAATACGTTTCTTGTTGTTTTTGCTTTTCGTTGATTTTTCGTTGGGTGTAGACAGTGTAAATATTTATGTTTGTTTGTATGTAAAACGAGCGCAGCAGAAGGAATGCTTGAATGAATACATGATTAGCTCTGAAGAATGAATGCAGCGAGTGTTAGCGAAATGTATGCGTTTCAGGAGTGAGTGAGTGAGTGAGTGAGTGATTGAGTGCGCGAGTGCATAAAAGTGGCAAAGAAACGAAGGTTGCATGCAATATGCATGCTCGTACATACATACATATGTATGCATGTATGTATGTATGTTTGAATGGCACTTGCACAAATGCAAACAGCAGAGAGATAAACCAGAAATGCGTTGGTGTGGGTGGGTGCGTGTGTGTTTATGTGTTTATGTGCAACTCTACTCCCATAAGTATGCTATGTTGCATGCAACGCCCGCTGCTTGCTACGCATGTGAGTGGGTGTGTGTGAATTTCTTATTATTTAAAGCCAGCGAGAAATATTGACTTTTCGTCAAAAAATGCTAAACAATCAGTGCTCATTCTTTTTGTTTGTATGTACTACATGTAGCTGCTTGCCGAGATATTTCAGTCTGTGTGTGTGTGTGTGTGTGTTTGTGTTTCTGCTGCAGTAAATTGATGCTGTGCTGGGGCGCTTATTTTGATTTCACTCACACTTTTCTATTTTTCCTCTCCTTCGCTTTTACTCGCTTAACTTACATAAGAATAAACTTATTTTCACAAAACAAAAAAAAAAAAAATATAAAAAGTGGTTTTGTAAAATATTTCGCTTAACATTTCTGGCTTTCGCGAGGGCGTTTCATTTTGTTTAACTTATTTGTAAACGTATGCACGGCTTGTGTTGTTATGTTTTGCTTCGTTTTTTTTTTTTGGCCTCACTCGAATCACACATACTCTACGCGCGATGCATTTTATTTAACAACACTCTTCTTATCCAAAAAGGGGTTTTATTAATTTTGTTTTCACTCTCTATTTTTAATTTATTTTTTTTATTTTTTCTATTCTATTAGACGATAATTTCGCGTATGACACGTCGATTGCGTGAATTGGGCGTTGACGAGTATTCACCCTCGTAGCTGTCATCATAGCTGAGTGACATGTGCTGCTGTGGCGGTATCACTTCATCCTGTTCCATATGCTCCATGTTGTAGGGGTTGGGTAGGCCGCTTACGTCGTGATATGGTGAATCTGGCGAAGAGACGAGAAGAAGATGGGGAAATTAGTTAGGTTAGAAGGAAAAAGAAAATAACAAATAATTTTATGTGTGTATGCTTATTTATTGAGTGTAATCGATTGAATAGTTTTATTATTTGCGAAAATAAAAATTTGTAGCATTTAGGAATGCAAACAAAAAATAAACAAAAAAGTAAAAAACATAACTAAACGTAAAACAAATAACAACCAAAAACTATCGTTTTTAAATATTTCGTTTTAAAATTATTTATCATTAAATCTATAATTGCGAGCCTAAAATCTGGCATTTTTTGTGACTACGGAAGCATCTAAGTAAAAAAATAATAATTTTGTCAATAATTTTGTCATAGAGCATCCTTTGCGTTCGAGTAAGTATTTTTTACTGTTATGTGTACATAACTATTTATAGCTAAGGCGGAAATGCCATTCTCTTTCTATGGAGCTTAGGCCTAGCAAAAAATTATAGAAAAATTGTAATCATAAAAACTAGTGTTATACAAAAATTATAATTTGGAAAAATTTGTGTTTGAAAAATTAGTAAAAATTTTTTGCTTAAACTACAATGACCTAAACAAGTATTCGCGTGTTGGTGTTTAATATTTAAAACGTTTTTTAAGTTTTTTTTTTCTTTTTCAATAAAAATGTTGTCCAAGCTTATATCAAAGTTTCAAAGTTTATACAAAATTTAGGAAAATTCAAAAAATTTTCATAAAAATTTGGAGTTCTTAATGAGAATATTTACAAAATTTTTGGGTACAATTATAGTCCAACGGAGTGCAAGTTTCAAGCTGCATAAAAATCCCGTTGATTTTTAATAATTTTTTCTTTTTGCTGAGGAATTTTTGCAACTTTTTCCATATAAGCATGAATTTCCTAATGAAATAAAATGGAGGGAGACCGTTCGTAACAAATTTTCAAAAAATCAACGAAATTTTAATGAAACTTTGTTGATTTTTCGTAGATTTTGTATACATTTTGAAACTTTGATTTATATCGTTTTGGCTAAAGCTTCGACATTATTTTTATAGAAAAATAACAAAAAAAAAAAAATTCAACTTAAAATGTTGTGTTTAATAAAAGAAAGTCAACGCGTGTTTGAGTCACTGTATGAGCACGGAATTTTTAAATTTTTTAAATTTATTTTAATTTTTATAAGAGAATGGTAGAATATGCAGTACATTTATATTGTATATATATATATATATGCATATGTATGTATATGTGCCTGTGAGTGTTTGGTGTGCGTGTTTCTACTCTTCTTCATTTGATAATTTATTTATTATTCTATTTCACTCATCAAATTTTACTTTCGCTGTGAATGCAATACTCATACAAACTTACTTCAGGCGCTCTCCGTTAGAGCGTAACATCCTGTATTATATCCGCTTTACGATTGCAAGCATTAATAGATAAAGATAAGTGATAATATTTATAAATGGATTTGTATGTGAAGCGTTAAATAAATATTAAATTACATTTCAATATACATATTACTTTATTACATACATATGTCCATATATGTGTATGTAAGTATGTAGCATAAATTATTTTAATTAAATAATGCACTAGCTTACATACTATATATATATATAAATATATGAGTAAAGTACTAGAATACCATAATTGAAATTTAAATTTGTTACCGATTGATTTTCATGCAGCTTATTATGCATTAATTATTAGGTTTAGATATTATTATGTTCGATTTTTTCTTTTTCATTAATAGAGCTACAAAGATTAGATAGCAGCTAATGGGCAAAAGCAATATTCCCTATAAAGTTTTCCAATGCTTGGCGTTTGCTGTACTCAACTGGGAAGGTTCTACGTACAAACATTATTTAATTGGCATACCTATTTAACCTACCTATTTAATACCCGAAAGTCAATTTGATATTGTTAATAGAAGAAAATTATAGAAATAAGCACTCTTAACCCCCTAGTTGTAGACACCCCTGAGAAGAAGAGCACAATCCAACGAAGCTGTTTTCGTACAAATCGAAAATACCCATAAAATATTTTTACAAAAATTTCAAATTTTCTATTTCCAAAAAAATAAAAGGAATACTTACATAATTATGTATGTATGTCTTAATTGTTTTATTAGTTACTTATGGCATTATTCACTAGATCTCCTAAAATTTCGCTCACTCCAAAAAGCATACGAAAATATGAGAAAAAGAGTTTAGTTACGGCAACTAAATGTATGTATGTATGTATTCAGCTGACACTTTTCTCAGTGTACATCGAGAAATAGTATGTATCTACTTATGTATGCACATATATGTATAACTTTTAATTTAAATATAAAATGTACGTTAACATGTTAGCAAGCTCAGCAAATGTGGCAAGTAAAAAGACAAGAAAAACCACTTTAATAAAAATATTCATAGAAGTATCTAACAATAGCAACCACATCTGCTGTCATGCGTAGATAATTCTTAAAACGTACGATAACACACAGAGCTTTTTAGTTTAACGTACATATGTACATACGTTTGTCTGTAAGAATGATAAAGATAGGTAAAATATATTTAAATATTATATGAAAAGGTGTGTGTGTGTGTGAATATCAGAAAGCATTCATTCAAGCATCTGTCGGACATTCAACCAGCTAACAGACAGGATAACAATAGCTTCTGCAGTTGTGGCGAAGAGCAAAAATCGGACACAAATGTAGCCACTATAATATTATTTAAGAGTTGATTTTCTTTAAAAGGCACACATCCGTAAACACACATCGGAAAATGATAACATTATGCGACATAAACTAAAAAATTTCAAAGCACACAAAGCAATCAAAATACCCACGAAACTAGGGGTCAAATATAGTAAAACTGCGTTTTTAGGTTTTCGCTCTGAAGTCAGGATTTTTTTTAAAAGTACTTTGCAAGCCAGGAAAATATATTTTATTAAGGCCTGCTACCCCTGTGAAGGTCGAAGTCCGCGGGACACTAAAACCGTCCGCCTTTCTCTAGCGGCATCATCATTGCAGGAGAAGATTGACGATAAATATGTTTTTGACTAACTGGTAAAATTTTGAGGTTCGAGTTTTCCACTTCTTGAGATTAGTTTGAATTCGCATATAATTTGCACATAGAAAACACAAAACTATTACCAAGCACCCCATAAATTGCCGGCAAGTTCCTTCATCAGCATGGATACTTAAAAATACAATTAAAGCATAAAAAAGATTTATATTAATTGACATGCAACCATCAACATGGAGCTACATGGGCAATTAGTACATATCTAAATACTAATAAGAGACACAGTTAATTTGGGTGCAATATTGATTTTTGTTAGCATTGAGATTCAACTAAGCAACAATGTGATCAAATGGCTACAAAATTTGTGATGCACATAATATTTCAATATGCCATGAACAACAATAATGAATACAATTTCTCTGCTGTACTAATTATGCCTTGAAATTCAACAAAATATTTAACTAATTGGGCAAACAATATAATGCATAGACGTGCATATATGATTTGAATGAGTTTTCCAAAGAAATTATTGCTTATTAAATTAATTAACCAGTCGGTGTGGTTATGGCAAAACAACTAAACTTTCAACAGGTCAATGATTTTTTTAATTGGCCTTTACTTGTACATATATTAGAAGATAGATTTTAATAAAAAAATTTTAAGTAGTCATGTAAGCTGGTTGATACCGCTGATGTCCTATATATATACATACATACGTAAGAAAATAATTTCTTCTCTTTTGAGGGCAATATAACTTTTTAGGAAAAAATCAAAACGCCCGAGACTGTAATAAAATATCGTTTAAATATATGCCATTTAATTGTTATGCAGACTCAGCTTCTTTAATTTCCAAACTTTTTTCTTAGCTATGTAGTTACGTATTATTAGATTTAACCCAAATCGGGCAAGCTAAGTAAAACTGATTAAAAGAAAATAATTTAGAAATTTAAAGAATCTGAATCTGCATAATACTTAAATGGCGTAAAAGTAACTAATGTTTTCTTATGATTTCGAAATTTTTGATTGATCCTAGAAAATTACATTGACTGACCGCTCGATACGCGACCTCTGAGAATTCCGGTCGCATAGCAAGATTTTTTTTTTGCCTTTTACTAATATACATACATATATACACTTGTGGTCGCTGATTAAGTTAAGTGTTATATTCACCAGTTTTGGTTATTTTTTTATTGTTTATCCATTGTTTTTATTTTTTTTTTATAAAACTCTAGCACATGACATAACCAGCACAACATTAATCCACATATCAAACTACTTAGAAAATTTATAAAAATTCGATAAAATTTAACAATTACATACAAAAATTTTAAACGTTTTATTAAACATTGTTATAAAAATTTTAGGTATGCAGTTTTATAGCGTTCTAAATTTTAGTGTTTTTTTGTAAACGGTGTTAGGTATTGCTGGGTATGTAATGTGCTAAAATTTAATAAAAAAAAACTGACAAACATTACATAAACAAAAGAAAAATAGCCAAAACTGGTCAAAATGTCACTTAACTTAATCAGCTGATCACAAGGGTACTACATACATAGTTTTAGACCTCATCAAAAGGTTTTGCTCAAAAATTTATTGAAGTGACATTAGCAACCATTTGACCATACATTTTCATCTTATACAATTTTTTTAGAACCACCAGCTATTTAAATGCAAAATGATTTTTAATTCTCTGTCAATTTCCATATACAATTAAAAAAATTAAAATCATTTTTCCCTAAAATTGCTTTAGTGAAATTGGCTGCCAAATTCTGTAAAAGTATAATTATTTACGATAACGTTTTTCTCTTGATTTCTAAGAAGATATTACTATATTTCAAAGTTTCAATTTAAATTGCATAGCTAGAGTGCGATTAATGGTTTCTATTAAAATATTTTTCTAGAAGTGTATATTTAACTATATGAAAGTATGTACTGCTTCGCATATGGTTGCCTAATCGGCTGTGGTAATTCTGACTGAATGAATGAAAGCTATATGTTTAGCCAGATATCAATACCAATGTACGAATATACATGCATATACATAAACGTTATGGGCAAATCTAAAAAACAGGTAACCTTTGTGTTATTTAGCTTTATTTTCACTATTGTAAACTAAATCAAGCTGGTTGCTTTTGGATATAATTCACTGACGTATACTTAAAGCCTCAAAAAAATTTGGATCAATTTGCTACATAACTTTTGAATTATAGGTGTTTAAATTAAGAAAAATAATGAAAACAAGTGAATTTTTTTATGTAATTTTTAAGAGGGGCACAATTAGTTATGTCATAATTTTTGAAGCACACCATATTTTGATTTGAAATTAAATCGGCGTTTAGCACTTATGTGTACACTTCATATGTAGTGGGTAAGAAAAGTGTGCATTAAAAAATAACGAAATGGCAAGTAACTCAAAGTCTGTAACTTTACATTTCAGAATTTTCAAAATTTTCGGTTTATCGCGTATAGGTTTTGAAGCATTTAGTTTTAAGAACTTTTTAAGTATGTATTGTATTCTACAAACAATTACGAATAATTTGATACCTTGGCAAGAGGTGTGCTTTCAGAATAAACTAACTTTTAAGATAAAATATTCTGCGATCTTGAGCGTAATTTTTATTCCAAAAACACTTTAATTGAAGGCACATTTGGAAAATACGACGAAACGATCTAAATCTTTCTATAACTGCTAGTCCTTATAAATTTACATATACCTGTAAAATGCTTCAAAAAATTTGTCTCTAGAAGTGTGTAAAAACCCTGATTTACAACTTTTAATGATGCTCCTTCTTTTAGTCAGAATATTTCGAGAGTGGTATCAAAGCAACTTTTTTTCGACAAATGTTCTGATAGTTGCTCTTACTTAATTGGAGCCTTCTGAATTCAATGGCGTCCTAAGTTTTACCCTATTGGCTCCACTTTTCGAGATAGCGTTACTTGAAACTTTGCTTAAATTTTAACTATTTTATAAAAAAAATCCCTGGGTTTTGAAGATATTTTACTAAAATTTTGCACATCACCGTTTTTTAATATTACCTTAAGTATTCCATAAAATCATCGAAATCGGTTCACTAAAACATATAGCTCCCATACAACTGATTGATCAGAGACGTTGTTTTGCGTTATAACTCCTTCAATTAAACAGGTTAAAATTTAGTATATTCACTTTAACATATAGCACGCATACAATTTATTATTCAGATATGAAGTTAGAGTTATTGCGCAAAAACACATATCTGAGTAATCAGTTGTATTGGAGCTATATGTTAATGTGAACCTATTTCGATAATTTTAAGGAATAATTAAGGTAATATTAAAAAACTGTTATGTGCAAAATTTTAGTAAAATAACTTCAAAACTGAGGGAGTTATTTATAAAATAGTTAAAATTTAATAAAA